GGCCGGGCTACGGAGAATTCGATTGTTCTGCAGCGCTCCCTAGTGTCCAGTCCAGGCCAACACAATCCCCTTAGGCTGCAGGGAAACGGGAGGGGCAGCGGGGAGGGCGGGGCAGGTCTGGAGGCAAACGTAGCTTAGCAGAGGACGCTATGTTACCGCAAGCAAATGACAACCTTATAGGTATCATTAACTCTTCCCTCTGCCTCACCTGCAAATGCAATCGAGTGTCAAGGCTTGTTAGACGTATAGACTCCACAATATCTCTCCCATCTGTCTTTGAACTACTCTGACACTGCCACCACCGCCCTGTTGTAGGACCTCATCACCTAACCCCTGGATTACTGCAATAGCCTGCTGGTTGGTCTTCTTGCCTCATCTCTCCCCACTCCAGTCCTTCCTCCTCTCAGTTGTCAAACTGATCTTCCTAAAGCTCAGGTCTGACCATGTCACCCCTGTGCCCCAAAAGCTCCTATTGCCTCCGGGATGAAACACAAAACTTTTTTTTTTTAACCTTTAAAACCCTTCACAGAGGCTGGCTGCAAGCAGTCTTTCCAGGCAGATTGCATATTAATCTCCCTTCATCTCCTCTCACTCCTCAACCCTTTACAATTTGGCTTTCGACCTTACCACGCAACTGAAAACATCTCTTTCCAAAATTCCTAATGATCTTTTTTATTGACAAATATCGTAGTCTTTTATCAGTCTTATCCTTCTTGACCTATCTGTTGCATTTGACAGTGTTAATCACACTCCCCTCCTAAATATGCTCTCTAGGTTTTTGGAGGGAGGAGAACAACCATTTACTAAGCACCTACTATGTGCTAGGCACAGTGTTAAGCACTTTACAAATATCTCATTTGATAATATCTGACACCACTCTCTCCTGTTTCTCCTCCTACTAGTAGGTCTGCCCCTTCTCAGTCTCTTTGCTGGCATATCATCACACCCCATAACTGTATGTATTCCCCAAAGTTCTGTCTTCAGTCTTCTCTTCTTTCTCTGAACATTATTCTCTCATCTCTCTCTTCCCTCCTCCTCTTCTTCTTCCTCTCTCTCTCTTTTTCCTTAGCTTCCATGATTTTAACTATCGTCTCAATGCTGATGACTCTCAAATCAATACATCTAGCCCCAGTCTCAACCCCCCCTTCCCGGCTTCAATCTAGCATCACTAATTGCCTATTGGACATTTCAGATTGTATGCCTTAATCATCTCTAAAACTAAACTTATTTTCTTTTCCCTAAACCCTCCCCTCTTCTAAACTTCCCAATTTCTGCCAAAGGCAACAACTGTCCTTTCAATATCTCAGGTTTGTCATCTTGGTATTAACCCAGACTCCTCACTCTCCCTCACCCCACATATCCAATCCAATCACCAAATCTTGTATCTACCTGTATAACATCTCTCCAAACTAACCTTTTATCTCCATTCACAGAGCTACCACCTTAGTTCAGGCCTTTGTCACCTCTCTATCCTAGATCATTGCAACGGCCTTCTAATTGATTTCCCGAATTCCAGTCTCTCTCCATTCCAGTCCAAATTACACACACTGCTGCCAAAACAATTTTCCTTAAGTGCAGATATGACAATGTGACTCCTCTATTCAATTAGCTCCAGTGACTTTCTAGGATTAAGTAGAAACTCCCTTGTTTAGCTTTTAAAATGCTTCACAAACTGGCCTCAACCTCTCTTTCTGGCCTCATTGGCCAACCTTTCCCCTCCCAAACTCTATAATCCAGCCAAATTGGCTTTCTCTCCATTCCCTCAAGCATGAGACTACATCTCCCAACTCAGTGCTTTTCCACTGGCTGTGCCCCATGCTTGGAATGCACTCCCTTCTTATCTCTGCCTAATAGAGCCCCTCTTTTCTCTTAAGATACAGATCAGGCACCTATCTTTTTTTTTTAAATAGTATTTGATTTTTTCCAATTACATGTAAAGACAATTTTAAACATTCATGTTTTATAAAATTTTGAGTTCCAAATTTTCTCCCCCACACCCGCCCCCAAGACGATAAACAATTTGATATAAGTTACATGTAAGGCCCTTATCTTCTACAGCATGCCTTTCCTGATGCCCCCAAGTGCTAGTGCCTTTTCTCCCAAATTACCATTTATTTAATTTGTGTGTGTGGTATAAACTTTATTTTTATGTTACTAAATTTCTATGTGTACTTGTCTTCCCCATTAGAATGTGAAGCCTTCCTGAGTAGGGACTGCTCTATTCTTTGTACACACATACCTTGTTTTATTTTGCTTTGCTTTATTGCACTTTGCAGATATTTGCATTTTTTTTCCACAGCATGTGCTCATATCATGTTTCTGCGTCAGATTTGGGTAAGTCTGCCAATATTTTGAACGTTTTCATTATTATTCTGTTATGGTGATCTGTGATGAGTGATACTTTGATATTTGACGTTGTTTTGGGATGTCACAAACCGGGCTCATACAAGACAATGAACTTAATTGATAAATGTTCTATGTGTTCTGACTGCTGTACCCACAGTCTTTCTCCCTCTCTTTGGTGCCTCCCCATTTCCTGGGATACAATAATACTGAAAGAAGGACAATTAATAACTCTAAATGGCCTCTAAGTGTGTAAGAGAAAGGAAGAGTCAATCAGTGTGGCAAATTTCATTTTTGTCTTATTTTAAGAAACTGCCACAGTCACCCCAACCTTCAGCAACTACCACCTCGATCAGTCAGCAGACTCAACATGGAGGCAAGACCTTCCACCAGCAAAAAGATTATGACTTGCTGAAGGCTCAGATGATGGTTAGCATTTTTTAGCCATAAAGTATTTGTAATTAAGGTATATACATATTGTTTTTAGACATACTATTACATACTTCATAGACTACAGTATAGTGTAAACATAACTTTTATATGCACTGGGAAACAAAAAAAATGTGTGTGACTCGCTTTATTTCAATATTTCCTTTACTGCAGTGGTTGGAACCAAACCTGCATATCATCGAGGTATACCTGTACATCTTTCTCCAGTGCCAAACACATCGCAGGAAATTAATAAATACCTATTGATTCATTGGTTGGTTGGTTGGTTGATATCCCAATTGGCCTATTTACTCTTCCCACAACACAGGTCACATTCCATATTTTCCATCTCCCAGCCTTTAGACAGTAGAGACTGTCCCTTGCGTCTTCCCCTTGCCCCTCAGAGCCCCTCACTGCCTCTAACATACAGCTGAGATGCTATCTTCCATATGGGACCTTTCCTGTCCCCACCCCTAATTGGTGGTGTTCTTTAGCTTTTGAAATTACTTTTATAACCTTGTAAATAGTTGATGTTTACTTCTCTGAGTACATGTTGTATACAATCCACAGTAATATATAAGTTCCTGAAGGCAAAAATGTTTCATTTTTGTCTTTGTACTCCCAACATCACACACACAGTAGGTATTTAATAAATGTTTGTTGAATTGAACTTTAAGCACTTCTGATCTAGTAGAGTGACAAGATATGCAGACATCAGATAATTAAGGACCCAATTCTTCATGGTAGAAAGAATGGCTTTGGAGTCAGGGTACCTGAATTCAAATGCTGGATTTGTTACATTGTTCCAAGGTTACCTGTGTAACCTTGAGCACCTTACCTCACTTTCCTGGACCTCAGTTTCTTCATCTGGAAAATGAGGTTAGATTTCTAAGGAAGCATAATACTATAGAAAGAACACTGGCCCTGGAGTCAGAGAGTTGTTCACTCATGTGTGACTCTTCTTGTCCCCATTTGGGGTTTTCTTGGCAGAGATACTGGAGTGGTTTGCCATTTTCTTTTCTAGCTCATTTTACAGATGAGGAAACTGAGGCAAATAGGGGTAAGTGACTTGCCCAAAGTCACACAGCTGGTAAGTTTCTGAAGCCAGATTTGAACTCAGGTCTTCCTAACTCCAGGCCCAGTGCTCTATGCACTATGGTACCACCTAGCTGCCCCTAGTCAGAGAATGTGGGTTCAAATCCTGCTTCTGATACCAACAGGGACAAGTCCCTTCCTCTCTCTGGCCTCAGTTTCCTCCTCTATAAAATGAGGGAGTGGGGCTAAGATGACATCTGAGGTTCCTTTCAGCTCTAGATGACTTAGAAAAGGAAGTGGTGATGACAAAGAGCAAGTATGGTTTCATTAAGAACAGGTCATGCCAGACTAACCAGCCTAGGATCTTAAGATCTCCTTCCAGTTTTATATATCTATGAATGAAAGGCAGTATGTTGGTTACCTCAAAGAGTGAGTTATTTCTAGGCCCATGATCAATGCTTGAGAAAGGGATAATCGGTGTGAACTGGAGCACTTTCAGGGTAGTGGGTCTGGAAGGATTCCTAGAAAGAAGCAGAAGGCAGGGGCATTGCTGGTGAGTTCCAAGGCATGGGGATGGGCACTCGCTTGTTCATAGGGTAGTTTGTGAACCAAATTTGTCAGTACCTACTATGTGCCAGGCCCTGGGGATCCCAAAGACAAAAATAAACCAAACCAAAAGGAAACCGTGGCTGCCCTCAAGGACCTAACATATGACAACCTCCTTTTCTCCTCCTTTTTCTAACTGCTCTGCATTAATTCTCTGGCCTAGACCTGCCTCCTTTAGTTCTCCAAGTTCTAGGTAGAGTTCAAGTTTCCCTCCTCCCACCAAAGCAAGGCCTCTCCCCTCGGAACGGCAGAAGCCTCCCGAGTCCTCCTGGTTGTTTTTTTTTTTTTTGGTGGCTCGGTCCGTGTATGTTTGAGTACCAGAGGTCAGAGATCATCTCATTTTCCGGTTCCTCCTGGGGTTGAGTTACCTGGCCTTGGCCTTGAGCCACCTCCCACGCCCGCCCAGCCGCCGCAGGGCTCATTCCTCCTTCCGGCCGGCAGGGGGCAGAGCCCCGCGCATGCGTACGCAGCGACCCCTCCAGGCGCCCGCAGCCCGCCCGCTTTAGTTAGTAGCGCCTGTGGCGGGCGTGGCGTCGTCGTCGTCGTCGTCGGGCGAGGCGAGGGAGGAGGAGAAAAAGGAGGAGGAGGCGGCCAGTGCTGCAGCTCGGGCTGTCTGGGCGGCGGCGGCGGTCGCTGTCTCCTCGCATCCCGGGCCTCGCTGGGCCCCCTCCCCCATGCCCGCGGGCAGCCTGTGAGCAGCGCCCGCCCAGGCCTGGAGAAGAGAGCGGCGGCGGCAGCGGCAGCAGCAGCAGCGACAGCGACAGCAGCAGCATGGCGGACGACGGGGCCGCGGCGGCGGCTTTGGCCGAGAAGTTCCTGACGCCCGACGAGCCCTTCCCTCTGCTGGGGCCCCCGCGCGGCCCGGGCACCTGCTTCAGCGAGGAGTCGGGCTGCCTGGACGTCAGCGACTTCGGCTGCCAGCTGTCCTCCTGCCACCGCACCGACCCCCTGCACCGCTTCCACACCAACAGGTATGGCGCCGCCCACCCCCTCCCCCTTCCGCGGGACCCTGGCACCTGCTCCTCGCGCCCCCCCCAGCTCTCTCTCCTCGATTCCCGCCCTTCCCCCTGGACCGGGGCACCTGCTCCTCGCCCCACCCCCACTCCCACCTCTCGGCCCCCGCCCCTCCCATGCGCACCCCTTTCCGTCGGCACCCCGGCATCTGCTCCTCGACTCTCCCCGTCCTCGATATCTCCCCCCGTCTCGGCTCCTACCCCTCCCATGCATCGCCCCCGCTCCTGGGACCCTGGCACCTGCTCCGCTCCTCCCCCTCATCTCCCTTACACCCACGCCGGGAGAGCCCTTCCCACACCGCCTCCTCTCAGTCGCCAGAGACCTTGGCCCCTCCCCTCCCCCACTTTGTCTCTCCCTTCCCTCCCGACCCCCCCCCCCCCCCCCCCCCCGGTTCCTTTCCCCTGCGGTGGGCCCCTTGCCATTCTGTGCTCCTAGCAACCCAACTCCTCACTGGCCAGAGCCCTGGCGTCTTTTCTGTCCTCGCCCCTCATCCTCCCAGTACCTCATAGGTCCGCAAATCTATAGCTAGGAGGGATCAGAGATCGGATGATGGAAGGCACCGTGGAGGCCAGGGAATATTGTGTTCGATACTGAAGGCTACAGTGAGAAGAGGACAGTGACCAGCTGGAAAATGTCCAGAGAGGCCATGAGGAAACTGAGGGCCTGGGAGGTGAAGTTATCCCACCTTTGTTCAAGATCACACCTAGGATCATAGATCGAGGCCTGAAAGGGACCCTAGAGACCATAGTCCAACCCCTTATTTTTACAGGGGAGGAAACTGAGGCCTGGGAAGGGGAAGTGATTTGCCCAAGGTCACCCATAGGATTTTAGATCTAGAGCTGGAAGGAGCTTCAGGGGCTATCTAGTCCAACCCCCTCATTTTCTATTCACTGTTCTGCAGTTGCCCAGTTGTTAGCCTACCTCCTCCCCAGCAACCATCTTCCACATTACATGCTTAGATTCATAGATTTAGAGCTGGAAAGGACCTTAAAATCATCTAGTCCCTCGTCCTCATTTACAGATGAAGAATCCAAGGCCCAGAGGCAAAATCTCAACTAATCAGTGATGGAGCCTGGGTTCCAGCCCAACTCCTCTGACTCCAAATCCAACATTTCCCCCAGCACCAGGCTGCCTCTCCCCATACAGTTTTGTTTTATTGGCTACCATTCTTTCCTAAGCTCTTTCCACTCCCAGATCTGCCCAGGCTCATTGTTTACCCTGTTGCATGTATTTTGTTCTTGTTTTCCTTTCTTCCTTCGCTGTTCCCATTTTAAATACACCCTTTATCCTTACTCTGCCAGTACCAGTGCTAAGTCCCAAGACCCTACCTTTTGCCACGTTTCTTCGTACTTAATCCCTTGAATTCCAAGTCCAGTATATAGAATCTCAGAACTTTTGAATCCAACTTCCCACCCCATGCAGATATTCTCTCTGTGCTTCAATTGAGCATCGTCAGTGAATGGTGGGAAATTTACTGCCTAGAAAGCCAGGGTTGAACAACTCTTAATTGTTAGAAAGTTTTGCCTTATATTGATTTAACTTCTCCCCATTTATTCTAGTTCTATTTTCAGAAGCCACACAGCACCAGTCTAATATTTCTTCAGCCTGACAGCCTCTTATAAATATTTGAAGATAGCTTTCATAAGATTGGTAAGGTAAAGGGGAAAGTATATCTATAGTTGCATCTCCAGGGCTGTAGTCATTCTAAAATGCTTTTAACTGAACAACTAAGGGCTCAACATAAATCCTTGTTTCTGCTATAAAAATCCCTACCTCTGAAAAGTACACCCTTTTGAGTTTATCTTATGCCTAGGGCCTTATCTTAATCTTCAGTAAAATTCAACAAACATTTATTAAGTAACCATTTCTCTTGATTGCACCTGGGGAAAATATCCTCCCTTGAATTGCTCAAAGGATTGTGAGTAGTTACTAGGTTCTTTGAGCCAGGCACTAGATTTCAGTTCAGATTTTATTCTTTGAAAAGGAAGTATTATTCCCAAATATACATTTGATTTTTAGTTTTTTTAACCTGTAATTTAGCTGGTATAAGAAACACCTATCAATTCAGATTGAAAACTGTTCTGCAATTTATAATACAGTTTTAGTTCACTGGGATACTGAGAGTTTAAATAACTTACCCAAGGTCATGCGGCCAGTGTGTGTCAGAGGCCATACTTGAACAAAGATATTCTTGACTCTGTGTTAGCTTTCTATATATCAAGACATGCTAACTGTCATATATTCTAAAGGGCCTTTAAAAGTCAAATTAAAGACTTTTTTCAGTTCTGAGAAGGGCAAGGACTGGGAATTTGGGAGACTATTATAATAATCCAGGCTGAAGGTGATGAATGAGAGCCTGACTTGTAATGGTAGCCTGTGAGTGGAGAAGAGACTGATTTGAGAAATGTGGAGGTAGAGACAAAAAGATCTGAGGACAAGAAAGAGTCACAGTGACTTGAAGTTCCATGTTTGTGTGATCAGAATAATGATGGGCCCCTTAGAATAAATAGGGAAGCTTGGAGGAGGGGTAGGTTACAGAAGGAAAACAAATAAGTTCTATTATGGACACATCTAGTTTGAGACTCTAGGTAGAGATCTGTACCGGACAGTGAATGATGTGATGATTGGAGTTCAGAAGAGATACTAGGGCTGGATGTGGGTATTTGGGAATTATCTACATAGAGATGGTCCCGTCTGTGGGAGCTGCCAAGCTTGATGAGAGATTATAGATAGAGAAGGCACAGGGTAGAACCTTGGTGAATACTGACTATTCGTGGATGGCCATCTAGCAGTGGAAACTGAGAGTGTGTTAGGTAAGAGAAGAATCAGAAGAGAATAGTATTGAAGAAGCCAAGGTTCCCCACCCCTGATCTAGGAGAAGGTGTCTGGCAGTCATAAAAGCTTTACAGAATTCAAAGGCGAAAGAGAACTTAGAACAGGTCATCAGATTTGGTGAAAACACTTTATTAAGTAGTAGGGTAAAGAACCCAGGGAACAAGGGGTTGAAAGGTGAGTGGCAGGTAAAGAGATGGAGGCCAGACTGCAAAAGAGAGAAGAGGTACAAGAAGATAACTTGAGGTGGCAGGACTAAGTGAAGGATTTTCAAGGAAGGGAGAGACCTGGGCATGTTGATAGGTGGTCAGAAAGGAGCCAGGAGATAGAGGAGGAAGATGAGAGTGAATGATGTAGCGATCAGACTCTCAGTGCAGATAGGAGGGGATGTTATCAAGAGCGTGAGTGGGAGGTTAGCCATTTTGGAGTACCTGAAGGGGAATGATGTCAGGTATGTTGAGGGGATCCTTTTTCAGGTATGCACTGGATGCTGACATTCTGGGATCCAAGGCCAGAGTATATAGTACATTGGGTTTGAATTATGTGACAGAGTAAACAGAACTAAAGACAGAGTAAACCTCGAAGGAGGTCACTGATTGTGGCCAAAGGACCATCTGGAAGGGGCAGCGAGGAACAAGAAATGTGTCTATTCTTCCTCTTGGCCTACTGTACCAGAGGCATGAGAGGATTATGTAGCATTGGAGAGGGTTGCCAGAGGCATAGTATATTCCTGAGGGAGCCAGGTTTCTGTGAGTGTCAGGAGATAGAATATAAGAAGAGGAGGTCTAGGATGAAGAGAAGTTTATTAATGATAAAATGAGAATCCCATAGGGAACAATAGAAGAAGAGGTTAGAGAAAATACAGGACTCATGGGCATTAGGGATGAGAATGTGTGGAGTGGGAGTAGAGGAAAGGGATGCCAGTCCCTTAATAGAGGGCATCTTTGAATCAGAACCTCGGACAAGGGGAGGTGGGAAACAGCAGCTGGCTAGAAGTCCCACTCTCCACGGCCCTGGTGAGGATGGAGTGTAGTCAGACTACTCTCCCAAACAACAGGGAGAAATGGTTTGATCCAGCAAGGAGAGTGGGTTGAGTCAAGCTGGGTTGGTAAATATCCGGTGATCAGGTCTCAAGAGGTCTGACTGAACTGGTGCCAGTTCCTTTGCCTCATCCCAAGGTGATAGAGGATGGTGCAGCCTGCAGCATGATACCCTGCATGTGGCTCCTGGCTCTTTGTGGGGACTGGTGGCTGTTGGACAGAGGGCTAAGGCAGGGCTGGGGAACCTGTGGCCTCGAGGCCACATGTGGCCCTCTAGGTCCTCAAATCCTTAATTTAATTAATAATTGATACATTCCCAAATAATTAATTCCCAATAATTCCCAAATATCCATATCCAGCCCTAGTATCTCTTCTGAACTCCAATCACACATCATTCACTGCCGATAGAGATCTCTACCTAGAGTCTCAAACTAGATGTGTCCGTAATAGAACTTATTTGTTTTCCTTCTGTAACCTACCCCTCCTCCAAGCTTCCCTATTTCTTCTAAGGGGCCCATCATTATTCTGATCACACAAATATGGAACTTCAAGTCACTGTGACTCTTTTTTGTCCTCAGATCTTTTTGACTCTGCCTCCACATTTCTCAATCAGTCTCTTCTCCACTCACAGGCTACCATTACAAGTCAGGCTCTCATAATTAAATTTGTGAAATCTTTAATAAAAGGATTTGTTCTGTGAAATTTGAATTAAATCAAAAGGCTGCACTTGAGGACTTAGAGGGCCACACGTGGCCTTGAGGCTGCAGGTTTCCCACCCCTGGGCTAAGGTATTGTTGCTTATGCTAGCTTTGTGTACAAAGGTGAGGTCAACAGTGTCAGCGTATGTGGCAATAGGTTTCAGAGAGAAGAGGCCGTCAGATACAGTCCCTGGACCTTCAGCAATAATAAAGGGCTATCGCTTTGTTTTCTCAGATGGTTTGGCAGCCCTGGACAGAGCAGAGATTCCTCTACAAGTATCAGTAAGTTCCAGGGCAGAGAGAACTTCAAAGGAAAAAAAAAAACAGGTACTGGGACAAGAGCCATGTCCAGGCGCCAGCAGTGGGCTCCTGCTTGGGCACTTGGCT